TGCTGAAAGGAAGGATCGCTTGCCTGCCTCAAAGCCATGCTCACAGTTGTGGTGCATACTACACTGTTTTGCCAACAGAGAGAGCTTTTGTTTTCTCTTTTCACAGATGTCCATGTGTCCACGTACAAATTCTTTATCAGCCAGCAAAATCCAGCCCTTCTACTGCCTAAAGCTATTTCACCTACAAGGCATGCCCCCCGTAACCCAGCAGTGGGCAAAACATGGCCTGGGGGTCAAATCTGGCCCACCAGGACAGTCTATCCGGCTCGCAGAACCCCTAAAAATTGTAAAGGCCCTGCCTAGCAGAGGCTTGTGGCCTGGGACCATGGGACTGTTCCTGTCTCCCTGCTTATGAGAGGGAAATTCAGATAAGAATGCAGGGGGCTGGGAGGGGGAAGGCAGGGGAGCACCATGGATGATTGCTCCAGTCCTTGGGGCTAGGCTGGCTCCTGCTGAGTCCTGCAGTTGTGGCCATGCAGCTGGGAACCATGTGGTGCTGGAGCACTGCAGCAACAGGTAGGAAAGTGGGAAAAGTGGTGGTGGGGGAAGGGGAATGGGAGTGAGCAGGCATGTGGGGGCACAGCAACAGCTCGGCGGGAGCATGGGGCTGCACTGGTGTCCTGGGCCCTGCACTGGCAGGGCCCAGAGTGGGGCAGCAGAAATCTGAGGCATGGGCTGGTAGGGGTCTATGGAGCCAGGCTGGGCTGTGCCAGCGGGGAGAGAGGGTATCCAGCCCAGCTCCACAGAGCCCCTGGCAGCTGGGACCCCACACTGCTTACACATCGCTCGCAGCCCCACTGGCGCTTACCCCGGGACACCGGCATGGACCCCGTGTTCCTGCCCAGCTATCACTGCTCTCCCACATGCCTGCTTGCTCCCACTCCCCCCCTGCATGCTGCCACTTCCAGCACTTCCCTGCCCGCCTGCCAGCAGCTCCTGCACCATGTGGCTCCTGGCTGCATGCACGCACACCCCCCTCATACTGCCATTTACACAGCCCCATACTCACACCCACACACCAGCCACCCTCCCCCCACACACAGCCCCATCCCCACCCACACCCCACATATCCACACACACTCCTACGTGCTCCCTCACCCCACACCCACACCTATCTACTGCCCCACAACCCCCCCACAACCCACCACAAACCTCATACCCACCCACACTTCACATATCCACACACATACACACCCACTTGCTCCTTTACCCCACTCCCACACCTATTCACCCCCACAAACCCCCCACACACCCACACCCTCCCTCACACCCCCAAACACCCAGTCCCCCACAAACCTATACTCATCCCCCACAATATACAAGAGTAAGACTTCATTTTAAGCTATTGTGCAATCACCTCTATGTACACTACACATGTAAATCAGGGCAAAAATATTTTTTAAATCAAATTAATGAATGTTGTAGATGTTCGATTTTTAGAACATAATTTGGTATTTTTCTGGTTCTGAGGTGGCAAAACCCCTTGCTGAAAGGAGTACTTCCGGGGGCAAGGGGAGTAGCTTCTGGTAGCAAAGGTTGGGGGCTAGGGGGCAAGAAGGGGTGGGGGCACACAATGGCAACCAGGGGGCAGGGCACCTGTCAAGGAGTGGAGCTACCTATGTGGCCCTCAACAGCTTGCCAAAACTCAGTAAGCGGCCCTCTGCCCAAAAAATTGCCCATCCCTGCCTCTGCCCTAAGCTGACAGACAGCCATTTCTAAAGTGCTAGTGTGAATCAGCTCCAGCAATACAGCAATCTGGACAAGTGTAGGTCATGAGCTCTTACCATGGGGCATCATGTCCAGTCATTTTGCCAACACTACCTCCTCAGTGAGGAGGCACAGAACTAGCAAAATCATCTAACTGTACACACTCAAGACACAGCACTGTTGACAGCTGAGCAGCGTAGCTGGGGGGATGGGGGCAAGTGGGGTACCAGCCCTGGGCACCGACTATGGAGAGGGCTTCTGGAATCCCCTCCCAGGAGTCTTTACCATGGTGGAGGCATCCCTGTGCTGCCTACCTATAGGAACCAGGCACCAGAGCTGTGCAGCCAGCAGTGCATCTGAGAGATGGGGGGGATGAGTAGAAAGGGCTTCTCTCTCTTCTCCGGGGAGTTTTTTTTCTCACAGCATGTGCAGCCCTGCACCCACTAATGTATCTGGTGTGGGGGATGGGAGGGGAAGCAAACAGGACCCCTGAGGTGGCTTCCAGGGAGTTGGTGCTACAGGGCTGCTGGACTCTCTGCCACTGCTACCCTGGCTCTCTGCACAAGGAACGTGGCTACTACTACTGCTGCTGCTGTAGCAGTGTTGGCTGACCAGCAGCAGCAGCAACTTCCTTCTCTGTGCAGAGAGCCCAGGTAGGTAAGACTTCCCTCTTTGCCCCCCACACCTTCTTAACCACCCTGGGCACTGAATGAGCTTTCTGTGTCTCTGAACGTCTGCAAGCAAAGAAAAGTTCTGGCAGTGACGATTTTTAACGTAGATATGGCCTCATTAATGGATGACTGGCTTCCCCTGTCCTTATCATCACTTTTTCTCTCATGCTTTTATCATACCACTCTACCCCAGCTGTGCTCAAGTCAGCTCCAAAGTAGTGCATCAAGGTGGGTATTTATAATTTATTTTAAGAAAACATCCGTGAAACATACCGACTGCCTTCCTTCAAGAGTGCAATAGCAATCCGGATCCGATTCCTTAAGAAGATCAGCATCAGTATGATGATGACTTCCACAATGCAAAGTATTATCACTGCAAGCAAGAAAATTAAACTGATCAAAAATCAAATCAACACTTTATTTCCACACTGTTGGTTTCAGCTTCCTGCTTTATAGTCCTACTCATGAATCCCAAGGAACTCAGCAAGACTGCTCTGGCTCCTTCTCACTGCAAAATTCCAACATTCAATCCCCATTATATAAGTGCTTGTGAAATCCCACACTCCAGCTGCCAGCCAGAATGTGTAGGGCCTTGGCAGATGACATTAGCATTTGTAATTTAAAAAGAAAATTGGAGCACTGCAAAGTAAAATATTTTGCAAAGAAAATCATTGATTAAAAACCATATGAACGGAACATTTGGCAAGAATATTATTTTCCTTAATATATTTCATGTAAAAACACTTCTCTTTAGTTATATACAGGCATTTTCAATGGTTATGTTGTACTGCTTATAATTTGTAGCATTTAAAATGGAAATAGAAATCAATTCTTTCACTAAGAAGGCTTGATTCTGGTTTTCATTACTCTGATTTCACATAGAGGTAATTCCATTGAAGTCAACAGGGTTACATGTGTATAACACTGGTATGAGAGTAGAATCCAGCCCTTATTTAACTGGAATGGAGAGAGTTGGAAGAGGACAGTCTGGAGGTGGCCGTATTCCACAGATGTTACACGCACATTCTAACTCTGCTCCTGAAGTCCCAGTCTCAGAATCCCAGTTCCACCAGTTTACCACATACCAGCTAATACCTGAGAATGGAAAGAGCTGCACTGCAGATCTTTCCCTCACAAGTAATAGTAGGATCTTCAAAAATCAAATTTGAGTGTCCAAATGGGCAAACAGACATTGTGGTACCTTGATCCAAAGCCCCCTTAAAAAGTATGATGCCTTACTGCAGAGCTTTCCAAACTGTGTGCCGCGACACATTAGTGTGTCGGCGGCAGTGTGTAGGTGTGTCGCGCAAAATGCAGAAAATTTTGCGGAAGAGCACCGCGGAACTCCCTTACTCGCATCTGCTTCCCTTGGCCCCTCCCCCAGAACTGAATTACTGTGTCGTGAAATGATGCATGTCTAAAAAGTGTGTCACCAACATGAAAAGTTTGGAAAGCTCTGCCTTACTGTATAGACTTAAGGATCCTCAGAGATGCTGAGTGCCCTCAGCTTTCCATGAAATAGCTCTACCCCGCCAAGGATCAGGTCTTCTCACAGTTATTCTCAGTTTTCTTGTGGTGACAATACATTTCTTAAATTTATTCCAATTCAGTTCTGTTAAATTACGGAAATGTGTATAAAGCATCTAAGAGAGGCAGCACGACCTATAGGATGAGCTTTGGTAATTATTCTATTCCTGACTCTTCTGCTACCCAGCTGGGGGACCTTCATCTAGTCCCATACCTTGGTTTCTTCATCTGCAAAATGTGTATAGTGTGCCTCCTTTGTGAACTGTTCTGTGATAAAATAGTTCAACCCATATGAAATATGCTTACTGAATCAATGCCTGCTGAGTAAGCAGGAGGCTAGCATCTCAGGGTGTTACAAGCATGAAACCGGTGTGCAATAAAACTGGAATATTCTCTAGGTACAAAACTTTAGAGAAATTTGCCTTAGCAATATGTGGCAATATATGCCTTATTAGCATATTGGCCCAGGCATCCAGGTAAATAAAGACCCAACAAAGAGAAGATGAGTTTTAGTAGAGGACTGCAGCTTTAGTTATTAAACTAGGTAATGAAGGGGGTTCTAGCTAATCTAGGCTGCTCATAAATGCTGCGATGCTGGGGTGCATGGAGTGTCCCACAGAACCACGGGGGGCTCCCCAACAGACCCAGAAGTGGACCAGAAGCACTTCCAGTCCGCTTCCAGGTCTGCCAGGGAGCATGCTAGGGGCCCCCCCCGCACCTCCCCAGCTTCCTGACTGGTGCCTCCTAGGTCTGGAGGGGCGCCTGGAGTCCCCCCATGGCCAATTGCCGAGCCGGGTGGGGATACCGGGTGGAGGGGCCTGCGCACTCCCTGGTGGACCTGGAAGTGGACTGGAAGTACTTCCAGTCCACTTCTGGGCTCACCGCCTAACATGTGGAGGGCCCCCCGTACTCTGGTGGAGCACTCCATTCACCCCAGAATCGCAGTGCTCACAAGCCATGCTGGTACCTCGAGGTATGTAGAAGAAACATTTAAAGCTGTGTCTATGTCCAAATCACTGATTCTCTGAATCAGCATTGAATCTTCAGATTCGGATTCAGCTGAATCAAATCAGGAACAGCGATCCGAATCAACAAATCAAATCATTGTCCCTGATTCGGGCTGAATCCGAATTGAATAGGGCCCCCTTTGCACACCCCTACTACGTACCTTCCAGTATTGCTTTAAGAAATATGTGCCACGTGATTGTTCTCCCATTTTCTTTCCAGTGGAAGATGTGTGTGCAGGGTAGTGTCTGGTTTGGGTAAGAATTTTTTTTTAATCTGTTGGGTTTTTGCATTGGAGAAGGCAGATGGATGCACTTGGTGTGGAAGGTGTTGAGGTTTGTGATTACTCTTAGTTCCTGGGGGACTCCATTCTTTAAACCCTGCCAAGAGGGACTTTAGTCTTACTGCTAAAAACTCCCTTGTACAAGAACTCTCATTTAGGAGTTTCAGGCAACCTTTTGGATACCGGCTATGGAGAGCCTTGAAGATGAGAACTGAGGGCTTGAACTTGACTTGAACTTCTATGGGAAGCCCGTAGAGTGACTGCAGGTTAGGTCTAATGTGGCCTGAGTTGCTGAGATGTGTTGCAGTGTTCTCTACTAGTTAGTTTCCTGTGGCCTGAAAGTTTCATGCTCAGTGCTGTAAGTTCAGTAAGACATGAAAAGTCACTCAAGCTGGGTCATCAGAGGCCCTCCCTAAACCAGCAAGGCCAAACTTCAGCCAGCAGCCTCTTAAGTTAGATTTACTCCCAGACTTTTCCCATATTGGACACTGGTTGGAACACTGTAACAATACCTATACTGTACTTACCTCACGCAGGATGCTTCTTCTGCTACACTCGTGTCCCCAACACTCCCCCAAAGTGTTCCTGGGTCTCATGGCAGGATCTAATCAATCATGGTCAGTGATCCTGCCCAAATGGGCCAACCATGTGGACAATGGTCCACTTAGTACCTCTTATCTCTCTTCTTCCTGTGCTGCACATAGTTCCCCCTCAGAAAGGACTGGATGGGGACAGAAAATGCACTTCTTATATGCAGCCTTGCCAGAGTCCCAGGAATTGTCTTGTTTTCTCCCTTACCATCCCCAATAACAAGAGGAGGGACACACAGTATGTGAAGTGTTCCCTAGATGGTGCATTTCTTCCATGTTTGTTATAAATATGATTAAAGTAGGTCAGATAAAATAGGAATCATGGAAAGTTTAAAAACTGCATAATATAATAAAACATCTCCACTGACTGCACATGTCAGTGTGGTAACCAAAGGAGGAGTTTTGTCTGCAGGTGTAACAAGAATCACTTGATGTGTGACGATTCATTCCCCTGGTTATGCATAAATAGAGACTATTTTTAAAGCACTTACTAAATGCTAACCATGTTTGCCTCAGTTGCAGGTACACTCTGAAGTCAGTCTGGAACCCAATATCATAGATGGTGAGGTCAGATCCAGGTATTCCCCGAAGATGATCATACTCCCAGTAACAATGCCAGATGCCTTGGTGGGGGGGAAAAAAAACAAGTCAAAGCAGCCTGAGTGCTTCCGAAGAGTTGTAGACACAAACGAGCCTTTTGTAACATTTTACAAAGAAAGTGATTTGCCTTTAACGTGTCATGCTGTGGGGGAAGGACTGGAAGCTTATAAACCCACTTGATGAGAGAAGAAATACAAACGAACAAAACCTACTGCTTCACAAACTAACCACTGAGTGAGTAGTTCCATGGTACTGCAACTGATCCATAGTAAAAGCTTCATTAAAGAAAAACAAAAAAACCCTTCCGATTTGCAATATTATCCAGATTAAAAAACATTACATTCATTATAATTGCAGATTTTCCTAGTACAAATTTAAGCAATAAAAAAAATACATATCCTGCTCCACCTTGGCATCAAGGAGCTAACACCTACCATAGCCTATCATTCCAATCACACCAAAGATGAAAATCCAGAAGAGAACCCCCGCTGTGAACCTCAGCAGCACGAGGAAGAGCAGGCTCACAACCATTGCAATGAACAGGCCACTGAAGAGATGGAAGAAAGAAACATAAGGAAACAGGCACGAGCCCTCCTTGGCCCCTCACTCACTCCCAAAATAAGGGTCAGTGGAAAAATTCTCACAACATATTTTTTCCACAAAACCTCTTTTACCAAAAAATATCCTTTAATGTGCAGGATTAAAGTTTTGATATCATAAAAATATTGGAAGACTCTCTGTGATGTAATAAGGTTATGAATGTAACCAGAATGCGTATATGGCCTGGATTATCAGTTGGTATGAACTGGCATAGCTCAACTGAAATGACTATGATGTTTACACCAGTTGAAAATCTTGCTCTATGACTTGCTTGCTAATGGTATGGGGAGGAGCAGAGAAAATCAAACTGGAAGGATATGTATGTGCAAGTGCGTGGGGAAACCTACAGGCTTAAGTTGTGTTCCTATGTTAAGAACATGGAAAAAAATAATGAATGAGCTAACCTCTCCAAAGGCCTGGAAATAGACAGGGACTTTGAATTAGGGAATAAAAACATTCTCCTTCAAAACATAGGTGTGCATGGTGCATTGCAGAGCATACACAGAAAGCGATAAGAACTGACCTTGGCAGTGACCTAGTAGCAAGGCAATTGGGAAAAGACAGCTATACAATGAAGTTTTTCTTTTAGCTTACTCAAATCAGTGATAAGGAAATGTTAATTCAGATTTTATTCCCATTAAACAAGTCACAAAGAAAAATATAATAGCTGTGTAAACTGTTTACTTCCACAATGGGATTTGGCTATAAAGCTGTATGAGATAAGAGCTATGCTCCTCTCACGTATAATCCCAGCAAATATTTAGGTTAGATGCTCAAGTAAAATATTACATTCCTTAATGGTTTTAGAAGACACCAAATCAAAACAAGCATGCTGCTTGTGGATTCCAGGGCACTGCCAATATTTTTTGGGAAATGCCGGATTTTGTGGAATCCACAGAACTGCAAATTCAATAGGTCCCTACTTATAGGTGAACAGCAAGTTAAGAACAAGAGTAAACCTCAAGTTTTTTTGGAAGATTTCTTCACCCTAACATTCACGAGATAGTCTTAAATCTCCTCACTATCCAGCTTGATCTCTTGCTCTGAGCTCTACAGCAGGGTAACTCCTTCCATTCATTTATTTGATCATAATTCAGAGGAATTTGGTCCCCAAAGATAGCTGCACTGTTTGGGAGCTGGGGAGATTCAGGAACCATTTACACACTTGCTTACAAGTCTCATTGCCATCAGTGGAGCCCACGCAGGCACCTACAGTTGAGAAGCTGTCCTCCACAGATCTGCTTTCTTGAAAAGGGCCTGAGAACTTAAAGCTTCAGATCTTTCCAAGTACTGTGGAAAAGCAGGGGCCTAGTTGCTACCTACCTGCTTTTGTTATTAAGTTCAGAACTATCACCCCTTTCACTCCGGCTTGGAAATTATATTTGGCCTGAAAACTGACCAATTTACTCTGAAATCAGAATAAAGAGGAAAATTCTTCCAACAGTTTTTGAAGCATAGAGCATTTTTTTTAAATGGTAATATCTAAAACTTTGATATCCGTATATAATTTTTCTCTCTGGCTCAGAAGTTCCTAATCCTTTCCTGGCACATGATCTTGCTTCCAAGTGTGTGACCCCACTCATGTGCTCCTTTTCAGCATCAGCTCATCTTTTCCAATAGAATTCCTGTAGACTTGTAACTTCACATGTCATGGCGGGTGGGGGGGAGGTTATGACCCCTTGTTGAGAAGTACCACACATCTAGTTCAAAAGTGGCCAGTAACTTTTTCAAACAAGTCTCCCTGTGGACAATGCTGGACACAGCCCTGTTCTCATCTATTTTAACAGGAATTATGAAAACAACCTTCTGCTGAATGTCAGTCAAGGTTTTTTTTCCATTGACTTAATTGGAAGCAGAATTAAGCACCACTATGTGTTTGTGAGCAAGTTGCCTTGGAAAGTTGACAACTTACCAATAGATGTATCAAGTTACTGTAAAAAGTGTTAACTGCTATTTCTTAAGACTAATCTCATATATGTTATTATCCCAAGTGCATTTACTATTGATTTATGAAAAGTCATATCTGTCTATGGATTTGCATTTGGACTGATCAATATGTAATGAATGTGTGCATTTTACAAGCACTAGTCTTGCAAAGCTTTATGCTTGTGTTCAACTTTTCCCACACTGAGAAGTCCCTTTGACTTGTGTGTTAACTAGTTAAAAGCAAAATGTGTGCTTAAGTCTTTCCAGGTTCATGGCCAGGTCTTCACTGGTTACTGCTGAATTTGTTCTCTGGGATTTATGAGATTGCTAGTGCAAAAACAGTATTCATTTCAGGACACATTTAAGGCTATTAAAAATGTGGGTTTTTTTTAACTGGCCAAGTGCATTGGTTGTCTCCAATTTATGATGGTCTTAACTATTCGTTGCCTGCCTGATGTTATAAATGACAGAGCAATTACATTCTCAAATATCCCTTAGCAAACATAACCAGCTTTATATGTATACAAAACAAACCGTGTGTGTATGTGTGTGTGTGTGTGTACACACACACACACACACACACACACACACACACAGTTTGTTTTGGAATAACAATACAAGTGGGTAATACAAAGAAAAAGCCTCATCATTTTTGTTGAAATAAAACTGCTTAAACCAGCTGTAGGGTTTTTTATGGAAGATACAATGGGATATTGGACTATTTTCACTATATGTGTACAGAAACATGAAAAGTGCCATGACACACACATTCAAAAAAAGGAGATTCCAGTCACTCTTGGAATTTAGGAGTAGGAGTTTGGAAAACCACACAAAATTATTCATTTTTCCAAACTGTGTACCCTCTGAGACCCGAATGGAGGAGGTAGGAATATGTGTGCATAAACTTACATTAAAATCCAATGCCACGAACTGGCATAGTCTTCAAATATTTTCATTCCAATTGATCTTGCATCAAGAACATTATTGATGCCACTTTGGGGAAAAAAACGTAAGAAGTTTGGTTTATTTGGGAGAGCACAGACCTGATTTAAACAGCAAATAGGCATTTCACGTAACAGAACATGAGCCGCGAAGTGATGTTCCATTTTAGAACATGTCTTTATTTCTAATATTTATTTCAGCAAAGGAGAATTTAAAATATCCCCATGAGTAATAAGATTATAGTAATATACTGTGGCTTTGGTTTTATACAAAAACATCGGTTACCGTAACAGCAAGCAAGGGAAGTTGAGCTGAAAGTCCTCAAAACCAGGGAATAGTTATACAGCACTTGAAAAAAAACTATTTTCAAAAACTCTCTGAGTGCTAATTAATATGATGATCACCAGACATAATTACTTATTATATCACAAAAATATAGTCAAATGATATTAGGTCTACTGTAAAGTAGAGCGAGCCATACACTTATGGCTCCAATGTCACCAGTACCAAAAATGGAAGAAACTGCTTGGGAAGCAGACAAGCAATAAGCTCTCAGTACAGGAAATAATTTCCTAACCCCACAAAAATGACAACATTAAATATTTTCCTGGGACAACAGTAGGAAGAAATGTGGGCTCTGGTGACAACAGGATGGTGTGATAAGGGGTACCTAATGTTTGTGGTAGGGGCTTTACGTGCTTCATAGTTTTGGTAAGGTAGTAGATGGAGGAATGGGCTGAAGAAGGTTCTCAGTTCTGTATTTACCAATGTACAGCCAAGTTTTGGAAGTGTATGTGTGTGTTTGGGGCATATACCATATATTATTTCTGTATGTGTGTGTGTGTGTGTGTGTGTGTGTGTGTGTGTGTACATAAATCCTTTGGTGGTTTCCTGGCCTCATATTTTAAAAAGGCACTCAAGTACAAATTTACTGCTTCAGTACAATGTTTCGCTTGTTTAATTTCAGCTCTTTGCTACAACTTACTTTGATTTCTTTTCTATTTATACATTAATTCACAGACTTGAAACATGAGCAAAAGGGATCGCAAAATAAAAGGGCAGTAGGGAGGTGAAACCTACTTTGCAGCTTCCCTGAGATCAGTCACATTTCTTGTTTTTCCCCTTCCATCCTTGAATGTGGTCTGATTCGCTACAGTCAGAATGCCATTCTTTGTGGAGAAGTCAGGAAAGCATCTCTTCAGAACTGTCAGAAACAAGGACAATTTGTTACTGATCTATATTGATTTAATATTGCATTTCATTTTAGTCTTACATTCAAATTCTTGTTTAACTGTACAGATCTTATCAGAGAGATAGTGAGCTGCCTACCACTTGATCATTTACAGTCCTGATTCTGAATGACAATCTATTCAGGATGATACTGTGTAAGACATCTGGGGCAGGAGCCTTGTTGTTGTGTGCGCGTGCAATATGGAGCACAGTGGAGGTCTAGCCGATGACTGGGGCCCCAAGGTGCTATTGCAATACAAATGAATTATAATAACCATACTTCACCATCATTCCACAGGTTTCAAATAATACTACTACCTCTTCCTAAATCTGGCACTTAGGTGCTAGTGCCCAAAGCAGAACCTAGGGTCTGCAGGGTTAGATTTAGGAAGCATTGGTCATCAAGAACCAGTGAAGCTAAATCCCTGCCATGACATTCAGCTGCTAAGTCTCTACAATGATGTACAGGTTCACTGTGTAGCACACCAGTATTGCATGCTCTCCCCCACCCCTGGCTGCTGCTCTGCACTGCATTGCATGGGCACCCTCACTGCCCACTGCAGCACTACACCTTGTAGGCATCCCAGCCCTGGCACCACACCACGTGGCCACATGCCTTGCCTCCCCACTCACAGGCAGCCCCTCTAGCACTGTACTGTGCCACATCACACTGCCGCGTGCCCTCGGATGGTGCAAGAAGTGGAAGGTGGAGGGGGGGGGCGGG